AATGAGTACTTCCTTAACATTAGACAGTCTTTGTTGTCACGGTTACAATATTAACAATGTTGAACGGTCATGGGTATAGAAACGACATAAACTGCTACTTTCACATGGAAATAGAACAGATATCGAATTGAACACCGCTCTCGTGTGTTTTGTTGACCCATCCATCCACCCCGACCTCGTCCTGACACGGACTTTGTTGCTCTTTATATTATGTCACCGCACATTTCTCTTTGCTCCTGTCATAATTACTACGGCTGCTAGATGTCGCCTAACAGCAGAACGTAACTATGGGTCATAATAACCTGACGCACAAATGACCTATGGGCCCGTTTTTTACAGGACAGTCATGTACACTTGCAAAGATATGTTTCGGAAGATTTTTAACCGGCATTGTTTTACATCCATGTTTACTAGCTTGCAGTTTCCTCAGTTCTGAACTGAACTGAAGAAAACCTTTCGGGTGAGAGGTGAAACGTCTTCATGAACCTTGAGAAAGTCCAGTTGCCTTCATTAAGCTCTAAGAGATATGACACTGGCAGCAGGAGTGTTGTGCAATGATATAAACAAAATTAGGTCCCACTTATAAAAACAAGCCTCCAGTGGTCAAAAACTCCACAGGGTACCTTTAAAATAAATGTAAGCAAGTTGAGAAAACATACTACAGGTACTACAAGTCAGTCCTAAGCAAGGAGATCGTCCCCTTTCCTCTGGCTTGAAAACACAGCGTGCTGCCTCATATTAGAACAATGAGTAGTTCATCCAGTATCAAGAGAATCTGGAGATGAAAAGAAACCACGGAGTTGAGAAAGTCAAATCAGAAGGTCATGTACATTTGTTTGTGTGTCTCACTTTGAAGCGGAAAGCTTCAAGCCATGCCGGCATGAATAACTCATACAGCTGTGAGCAGAGGCCATAACACTGGGGTCACATGACAAAAGACTGTCTGCATGACACCTACTGCTTTATACTGGTCCCACAACCTGTTTCAGAGAACATCTGTTGAAATAAAGCTGCAAACATTTTACTGCCGAGATTTAATCTTACAAAACGTCAAATGTATGGATGTTTCTTGCTGAAAAATGATTGAAATATTCAATTTGTCACAGATTTAAGAAATCACAATATTTCATCTGATGATCAAAATAATGCCACATGCAGGCAAAGTAGTTTATATAACTGAACAGCGCTTTGTTATGAAGGGTCCTCCTAACAACCTCTTTAAACACTGGAATAATAAAGCATGATGCAGCAATGAACATCATAATTCAGGATGGGAAAGGTCAGCATGCTAACAGCAAGTCTTCCCCAGAGAAAAATTGGAAAACCCTCATATTTTCTCATTACATCATGGTACTATATACATACACGATGTATAAATTTGAAGTTAAAAACACTGTCAAAAATAATATACTGCAACTGGTTAACATAAATTACAAGGTGGAGGCTGCTTTTTTTTTTCTTTTTTTTTTTTATAAAAGGGAGGGATCCTGTATTTATAGTATAAAATCAAATGACTATTAATTATTTCTTGGGTTGAGGGCTTGTGTATAAAAGGTTATGTCTGACAGTCCAGTAAAAATGTATTAATCTCTTCCACATACTCAACACAGTGATATTAACATGATATGTACAGTACAAGTAATTGCTTAAAAAGAACAGATAAATATAGAGCCCTTATGAGCAAGAGTAGACTAGACTGGGCTGGAAAAAATAAAAAGCACGCACAGCAGACAGATGTAACAGAAACAAGTGTAAATCAAAACCTTTGTCACAGAAAAGTCAAAGTATCTTTTTCCACCTTTACAATTACTGAAGGAACATCAAAACCACTTTAATATGTTGTCACCCAGCTGTTGACACTGGGCGTAAATGCTAATGTGATTCACCGCACATTTCTTTTAGAGTTTTGACTCTAGCATATTCTAACTGACAGACCCTTAACTCTTTGTATTTGAAGTTTAATCAAGGAGTTTGAGAACAACCTGCTTAAACAATAGAGAGAAAACACCTTATTTTAAGCCATATTTAAGGTGTAAATATCAACCTCTTAGAAATTTGTAAATGTACATGATGTGGGAAGTTCTTATTTTGGCCAATAAAAGAATACATGCAATGTTAAAAAAAAAAGAAGTTATCCTAAGACACCGATGTCATGGTTTCCATACAGGTGGTTGTATGGATTTCAAAGCAGACCCCTCTCCAGCATGCTGGAGCAACAGACAGTCAAACAGTCTGAGCCGATCCATGTGACAGTTGCATTACTCAACTATAACAGAAAGGGATTACATTAAAATTCCCCAGTGTGTAAGTATTTAATTAGGCTCTTCCTCGTCCTGCCCACCTGCTCCCACCCAAGGAATGGCACAGAATGACTTGCACCGCAAAATTTTTGTGACAAAGATGTAGCTGCAAGAGTCATCCAGTTGTCATGCTGCACAAAGTATTGAAATTTATGCTTGTACATATTTGATCATTGTCGTCTTGGAGCAATCTTACAGAAATAATGTATGTGATTTGTTCGTGCTTCAAAAACATGAGCTCAAGTCATACATTTATATTGTTGCACAATGGAATTTTTGTATTTATTCATTTAGTCTGGTATAATGTGAAAATTGAAATGTCCAACTTGGCACACACACACACACACACACACACACACACACACACAAAACACTATACAACAAACTCAGAACAAACTAATTAACACCTAAGCATCGGCAATTACTTAAAACACCCTCAGAGACTTTATCAGGACATAATAAAGACTCTGCTTTAGCTTCGCTCAGAGATCTTATTCGCGGTAAGCTACTGGATTTCATTTACGGGTAGAGTTGGAAATAAAATAAAAGATAATTGGGACTTCTTATTAACTTTTTTTTTTGTTTTTGTGTAAGGTGTATAAAAATATCATCCACATAATGAAGCTGTAAAAAGTGGTGCATAATAATATAAAAATAAAAAGCAGTTACAACAGCTATGTTTCACGGGGTGTCACTAACACTGACCAGCCCCATTGCGAGAATACCAACTGGTGGAGGGTATAAACAGCAACAAATCTATGACATGTTTGTTTCACTTGGCAGTCATCTTTACAGTAGAACATTTAAATGAAATGTCACCGTCTGGAGATTATCCTGTCCTAATAAAGCTGTTGTGGTTTTACTTTAAAGGAGCACTAAAGTTTCATCCTCGGGGACCGTGTGCACTATTTATAGGGAACTTTAAAGATGCACAAAGACGAGACAAGCAAAACCTCCCCTGACAGCCAATTGTAAATAAAACTTGCCTCTCACGGCTAAGATGATTCAACATCAAACAAAAAGAGTGAGATTTCTCAAGTGGCAGATGGTAAGCCTCCTTTCATTAATCATAATTTTAGATGAAAAGGTTTCTCTAAAAATAAATTGCCAACTAGCTGTTTTCAGATCAATGCTTGTCAAGGCCCCTTCATCATCTTCTACTGTTTGTAAATGATCAGTAATTAATAGCTGATGGTCAGCACAGGGTCTGTGGCATGAAATGAACACTGGAATAAAGTGATGAGTCTGGGGTTAATCAAACTCTAATTCAGATCATAGTGTTTACACACAAAAGTCTTTATAAGTAATAAAAATCTTTTTTTTTTTGTTTTAATTTCTAAGTCTTTCCTTGGAGAAACGAGAGGTAGTTAGGTAGTTGCAGCAGTTGGTGCAGTGTGTGTCACTTATACGAACCAGACTGATTTAGGCAGGCAGAGTACATTTAAATTACATTTGACATGCTTTTGACCACCAGTGGCTATGTATCCACACAGCAGTATTAAGTTATATTATTTCAGTATTTGGTGCTTATATTCTGTATATCTGATTTGACCCTTCTAAAGAATCGCAACGGTGCTGTTTTCTTGTTGGAGTGGATGAAACCCTAAATGATCATTTTCACTTTTGTGACTGTGCAGGAGAGGTGATAATAACAGAGGCCAGCAGGGTTACAGCTCTAATGAAAACTGCTATACATATTGACATTGTATTGACTTGTATGGTAAAAACATGCGAGATTTATTTGTTCCTTATTTTGCAGGAACCAACATTTGTTTGATACGATGCTATTTCAAAACATTGAAATTGTTATCCTTCCTAATTCCTGATATCTTTGTTGTTGTGTTGCTCAGTGAGCCATTTTTAATTGAAATTGATGCAAAATCTTCAAGAAGGATGGACATCTAGAAACCAAAAGCTTTTGAGATATTTTTTTATGAACCAAAGGACTTGGTACGCACAGACAACATCAATTTCCTCAAAACACAAAACATCCACTACAAGATGTAACAGGGCAGATTAATGGCTTCTTACTCATTAGTGCACAAAGTGAAATCCACAGATAAAACACAACTGTTTTAAAAACTCAGTCAGTAACTGTGCAGCATATAAATCACAGAGCTGAGTTTTACTTAAAAACATGCACTTTGTGTTTGTTCATATTTTATTCTCATGTGAAGACACTGCTAATTTAAACAAATGTTTAAAAGTATCATTAATAACTTGGGATTAACAGTTTCTATTGTTAGCGCCGGTTCCACAGTCTGTCAGGTGACTATAGGTTACAATCCTGCCTTCTGAATTCTAGGGAGGGGATTTGGATCTTTACAGCCGATTTTAAAACTCAACACAATAATAAATGGCTGTGAGGGTTGTAATTAGAGCTATTGCACCAAGCTCTCTCGCTTTCTCTCTCATTGGCTCTCTCTCTCTCTCCCCTGATTCACTCACTCATCGGGGTCCCTTACTTTGTGTTGTCTTTCTCCTACTCTCTCTCTGTCTCTGTCTGTGACTGGCTCTGTGGAGGGAAGCAGCCTCAGAGGTGTCTGTGACACCCTTCAGCACAGCTAAGGGCACCGCTTCAGTGATGCTACCACTCTCCAACTATTTACAGTAGTTTGCCCTTTGGAAAGTGTCTGAACTGCCACTGCACAATAATTGTAATATTTATTTATTTTTTTTTTGTCCAAGGAAAGAAAAGTACGCGGCTGATCTGTGCTTTTACGCATGGAAGTTGGAATCAGCCTCATTACCTTTACGCATGGCTGTGTCTCGTCTCTTCGGAAGATGCTGCCGGGCTTATGAGAGCGTGTCAGGGCGTCAAGAGCGGGGTAAAAAGTGAGCAACGATGCGGGGCACTGAGCTGCTGCTCGGTTACTTTCTGGTGAAAGTTATGGTGTGCGACGCGGAGGGCGAGCCGGGTCAGACCGTCGACGACTTCATAATAGTAACCGGGTTCAACGACTCAAAAGAAGGGGAGAGCAGAGTCACGGAGAACCCGCACATGGAGGACAAGTGCCGCGGCTACTACGACGTGATGGGCCAGTGGGACCCGCCGTTCGTGTGCAGGACGGGCAGCTACCTGTATTGCTGCGGCACCTGTGGCTTCCGGTTCTGCTGCGCGTTTAAAAGCTCCAGGCTGGACCAGACCACCTGTAAGAACTACGACACCCCGCCGTGGATGATGACAGGCAAACCCCCGCCGAAAGTGGACGTGGCGCTGGACACCGCGAAGGATAAAACGAACCTCATTGTGTATGTCATATGCGGGGTCGTGGCCATAATGGCACTGATAGGAATTTTCACCAAGCTCGGTTTGGAAAAGACGCACCGGCCGCACAGAGAGAACATGTCGAGGTAGGTTCTAATTGGTTTTTCATTGACAATTACTTTAGAGTGTGACGGAGAAGATTTATCCGTGTGGAACAAGATACTGTAATAATTTCATCAGCACCAAGTCACAAAGCAACAAGTTATTTTGTAAATAAAACTGTGTAAGTTCAGCTGCACTTTACTACATTTTCAAAAGTGATCTCCTCTATGGGATTTTGAATAGGGGAGAAGGGATTCAGTGGGACCATGGAGTTTAACCATCAGTTTCCTCTTAGAGACGTGTTTAATGAAACTCGGCCTGCTCAGTGTCAGTGCAACAGTAAATCACACGCACATTTTTGTCAAGGTCACTGACAAAAGTGTATTTCTGATGTTCATTGCATTGTCCTTGACTTGCAGCTTTACTCTGAAACTGACAATTGTCAGTGATGTTGTGAAATGTGCTACAAATGTTAAATGTGTCCCTGCTCAAGGTAAAACTTCTTTTTGTTTTAAATTTAACCCAATAGATGGTCAACATGGTTATCACAAAAAATGGCTTAAATAAAAAAAAAAAAGCGCATGTCAAATTATTTTCAGCATGTTACAATTAAAACAAAGCACATGGTCACTTCTGTATTTTTTTTTAATCCAAATTATTAACTATCTGCAAGATGTACATGTACAGCGTACTTTTGTCATATGTACAACAATCAAGTTGAAGGCTGGTTGGTGGTGTATGTCAAACACACACACACACACACATACTCTCCATCATTCTCAAACACACTTCACACATACACACCAAGAGGCTTATTAAGCTCTTGCGGCCCACTCAGGAGAGTGAAAAAAGTCCGCACTGAGGAGACACTGTGTTGTCTCTGTGCAGGCCAGTACAGGTTGTACTCTTGTACACTGCCATTCGGATTAGTTGGATTCTGAAGGAGCTTAGGATTTTTATTACAGGCAATGTTACTCGAGTCTGAGCGGACACCTGTGATAAAGTAAGTACAAAATACCTGGGAGGTGCTGAACTCACACCATGATGATGAAATAGATGTGTGTGCACCACAAATACCTCATAATATATATATTATTGTATGTACCCTAAAAATGAAAGGAAAACTGTGGCCGTTCGATCACTGCTTGACAATGGTGAACATTTTTTAACTGCGGATAGTTTTCTGTATATTTACGCACCAGGCGACAAGTTTGAGAGAGATTGATTTCAGAAAAACCATGGTGGTTTCTGTGATTTGAAAGAATATCTTAACACCAGTTGAAAGTCTTGTTTTTGATGACCTCACCTTCCCACAGTGCGGTAAACGTGTACTCAGGGTTTTGGTCGATACACTCAGACATGACAGTTGGGTGAGTGTAGTCACAGGTGTGATGAGGCACACGTTTGATCAGCCCCGCCACACCCGACACTGACGCTAAATGTAGGCAGATCTGCCTGACTTGAAACTTTAGAGCAGCATTAATGAGGAGTGCTACTAAGGGTCGGGTTATGCTCGATCACAACTGGCTCAGGCAACGTGTTGTCAGGCCATGTTGTGAATCAAACACTTGTTGTGAACGGCCACACGGGATGGTGGTGTGAAAAGCTGATCTGACTTGGTTGTTCACAAGAAAATGGTTGTGTCAAGAGCTAGAGAGAGAAGTTCAAACCCTGGCTGGGTAATCACAACATGAAGTGGGTATGAATGTTGTAAAATGCGGATGTGTGTGTGTGTGTGTGTGTGTGTGTGTGTGTGTGTGGTGATTCCGAAGCAATTCGACAACATCAGACAAGTAGTTTGGACAGGGTTTATCGGCAGCTCATGCTTGTGAAGACAGTTGTGTCTTCTGTGGGTCTGAGGGGAGCTTTGTCAAGTTTGAGAAAAATAACCCTGATGACGTCATGGTGATGTCATCAGGGTTATGACTGATTGTCATGCGACTCTGACGCCAGAGACACCACGTTGTGTGCTACCAACAGTCAAACTTGTTCTCTGTTTACCATAAATGCTCTCTTTAACCTCAACCAATCAGATTTAGTTTGGTGGAACAGGCCGATAAAAAAAATGCTCATCTTTACATTATAATTTGTCATTTAGAAGAACTTGGTATAAAGACTGGCGGGCACTGCCGGCCTGCACAGAATCCGTAGTTGTCATTTACTGAAAATTACCCTCTCTGAGATTTTTCTTCGTCTTTCCAGGGCTCTCGCACACGTGATCCGCCACCCAGCGACAGAGCATACGGACGACATTGGACTTGGCCAACACTATGAGAACATACAAACCAGAGTCACAGTTAACAGCCTCCGTAAGTACTGTGACGTCAGCAGCACACAGCAAACCACACACCTACACACACACACATTCGCATGACTGAGCGGTTTGTTTAAACACCTCGTCTACACCTGTATATCTATTCGCTGTAGCAGCTTTTTTAAAATATAAATATAAACCTAATATTATCCCTACATATCTGCTTGCCTATCCTGAAATAGCTCTGGAACCGGAAGTGGTGGAAGGAAAAAAAAAAAAAAAAAAGATCCATCCAAAATCCTGCGGGCTGGTGAAGCAATTAGTCATGCCCTCAGCAATCACTTAACATACACACTAATTACCACCGGCAACCTAGCTAACAAGCTTTCTCTCTTAGCCACTACTTATACACATTATATCGCACCCTCGTTCTCTCAGTCATCAGCACCGACGCCTACACACACCCACACGGACACACACAGACAGAGCAGAGTTCTCATTAAAGCTAACCTGCTTACTGGCTTGACAGCTACAGTCAATTAAGATCTCTCTGCCTCTCTCCCGCATTTCACATTAAAAAAAAAGGTTAAACAGTCAAGCAGCATTTTTGTGATTATACTCTTCATTTATAGAAAAAAAAAAAATATTTGGCTTAACTGAGGTTAGAAGGTTTTTTTTTTCTCATGACTAATCCAAATTTTAAATACAAACTTAAATGGCAAAAAAAAAGTCTCCCTTTACAGATTAAGTCCAATGTCATGATGTATTTAGTGAAATAATTACACCTCACATCCCCTACAGTAAAGGTTAGAAGGAATGAATAAAATAATTAATCGAGCCAGGTTATGTGTTAGTGCTGCAGTTACAGTATAAAACGAATCACCGAATGAAGCAAAGAGAAATAAATAAGTGACAATCGTCCTTCAAGCAGATGCTTCTCAAGATGTTTCACGAGAGGCGGATGCAGACAAATATCGGGGATTATGTTGTGCTACGGACGGCCAGAAGTTTGTTCTCATTACAGGCGCAGAGTGCAGCAGGTGATTTCACTGATTAGTTTGGACGGTTTGATAATAAGTGAAAACACCTGGTGTAATCTGTGGTTGGAATGAACACCAGCCTGTTCTTGGCACACACAGCAGATGATTACCTTATCTCACATTATCTCATAGCCAGGTTTTGGTTACTACAGATGTTTAAGCATGTTAAATACTTGGTCCATGTCGGTAATGAATCCTAAAAGACGACAAAGAAAGTTACAGATGAATTATTCTCCAACCCAAGCTGCTGAGTCAAACATCATCCACAAGGTTTAAATGCAAAAATAGATGAAAGTTACAAGCACCAATCATCTAAAACCCTAAAATGCCCCCAAACAATAAGTCTTGATGAGCAAAATACTGGAGTAACAATACAGGCAATGTAAATTCTTTCACTTGGTCATAGAAATGTTATGGAGTCAGACATCTCAGGAAACCTGCGTTGACAGTTTTCTATGTGCTGTTTAACTTGTTGCTCAGTATGGGCTTTCAACATGGCCACATGCCACAAGGGCATTGTGCTTCATGTCACCTTGAAAATTTGTATTTGCATTTCCATAGTAATTGCTATAAATGTTTCTGGAGTGAGAAATTCAATTAATCTAAAAACAAAAGTAACCTCAAAAAATGGAAAGGTATTCTTTCATAGGTAGGAAAGGTATTCTATTTTAAGAGCTAGATATCTATCCTTTTTTTTTTTTTTTTTGCTAAAAACCAGCTGAGGTGAGGTGTCAGCACTGACATGATAATAATTAATCATTCTAAAATCAGAGCGCTCCCTTTCTTACCTTGCGCCCTCACAGAATAATTATCAGTTCATTAAAAACCAGCCAACACATTGACAGGTAGGACTGAATGTGAGGAAAAATATACAGCTTCCTCTAGTGCGGTGTACAGTATTATACTTCTTCATCAATTTTAGTATGACACACTACAAGATAATTCAAGAAGACAATGCACTGATGAATTTACTTGCTAACTGCACATGAGGAAAATATTTTTTTTTTCACTGTTGTTCTGCCTGTATGGTGTGAAGATCAATACTTTGGGGGGCAGTGCTTGTATACAGCTTTCAGAAAACAGTATCTGTGCTAAACATGTTGTGTGTGGTGAGCACACTTACATTACACAAACTGTGCGTGGACACAGTGAGAAACTTGTGTTCTCATTTAAAATCCCATTTTCCCTGCTGCTATTCCCAAGAGTAAATGAAAGAAAATGACCAATCATGTGAGGTAACACAATATTGTACAACAAGTGCAGTCACTACACCTATTTAAAGGTTATGCCACCTTTGAAAGTAAAAATTGATCTGATTTGAAAATGTGCAAGTTCTCTCACATCACCTGCTTCCTCCAGTGAGTCAGAAAATAACACTACACCTGGGGATAACTGTTTATCAAGTTTCAATTCGAGCCTGTAATAATCTGGAAAATTACCACAAACGACTGGAAGCTTCTTCTTCAGTCAACAGCAATGTAAAGACAATCTTTGCATCCTTGCAATTATAAATACACAGCATACTAGTTTACATATTTGCAAAGAAATGTCACATTTACTACTTAGAACAAATTTGAAAAAACATATACTGTAAGAAATCTCCTGATTAAAATACACGTATTTGACTATTTAACAAAGGCACATGGATTCACCTCAACCATATAGTGTAGATTCTTAGGTGTATTACAGGGGTAAGAGTCGCCCGTCAGAAGATTACTTCTGTATGATGAATGTCTCCCAGATGATGGGTTTAGTTTAGCTTTCTTTTTAATTTTGTGACCTTGGACATGGAGATCCAGGGCACAGTGTGCTGGCTCCTGTATCTTACAGGGAGGTAAGGGAATTATTCTGTGTAACTGAGCTGGCAACAGCACATGGATGGCCGTTGTTTTCTTGACAGCAATCCTTGCAAGGGTGCAAGAGGTGAGGTAATTTTTTTTTTTTTTGCTGCATGAATCCGTCCTGCACTTGTCCTCTCCAGCTGTGCTTTCTAGTGGCATGTGTGACTATGCCACAGCTATAATAGTCACTGTATATTACAGATACTAGTGCAAAGCAGTGATTGAAACGCTCCAGAGGGAGCCCCTGTTCCTCATCTGTTGCCTGTCAAAGATAACAAAAATCTGTTAGACTGGGCTATGAGCTCTCATTCTCCTCAAGACACCAGTAATACAGATTTTGCGAGCTGGGTTTCTTTGGCTACCAGCACTATCATGTTCATGTCCTGCTGGCCATGTGCGTACATGGGGCAATTGTGAGTGTGGCCTCTTTTTACTCCAGGCAGTCAGCCAGAGAGAACAAAGTCTCCGCTCACTGCCAACACTCCACTGGTGCATGACAGTCCATTTCCTCACTGCCAGATAGAAATGTATTTCAGCTGCATTACCTCTGACAGCAGCTGAGAAATCGCTACCAAGTGCAGAGTCTACCTATGGTTCTATTTTCCATCTGCCATATACTGCACTTTGAACTGTATACTGAAGCCTCAAACCGTTAAGGAGGTAATTACAAACTCGCAATACAGATCTTAAAAATATTTGGATGGAGACACATGAGTTGTTTTCTCGTATTAGTTTGTGAAATGAGAACGTGGCTATGGGACAGTTTGTTTATCTTAAATTTTCACCATATTAACAACTTACAACACAGATACAGTGGGGCCATTAGCCAGTGGAACATGTCACTATAATCTTGAAGGAATGTAAAAAATGTGAGCTGAAGAAAACCCCGACTGTTTCCTGAGTGATCGAATAAAAATATAGCAGATTTCAGGTGAACACTCAGAGAAACCAAATCCTGCAAGGTTTGATGGTGGGTCGAGGTGGGCTTGGACTGGGGTGTGGCTGAGAGCGGTGACTGCTTTGTTGTGACATCACAAAGTTACAGAAGTCCTGACGGCTTGTTAAGACACAGTTTCTGAATACAGGCTTTCACATTATTAATATAGAACCTAAACCTGCTTTATAATAAAAAAAGATGGAAATCTACCTTTATACAATATGGACCCTTAATGGTTCTGAACTGCAATTTCCCTCTTTCTCTACATTTTGAATAGTGCATTTCCTGTCTTTACTCTTAAATCCGACTGATGAACTTGATTTTATTGTAATAGTGGGAAAAATTGCTTTTTACACCATCCTCACTGCCACATCCCAAAGCTCTGCATAACTAACAAAAATTAAAAGTAATTTAGATAGATTTGTTCCAAAGCAACGTATGCTACGTCACAAAGGTTCTGAAACTACAATCAACTAGAAACCAAAGTTTGAGGTTTTAGGATTTAGGGTGTTATGAGTCAGGGTTATATCAGTCAAGCTGATCTAATCTGAACTGCTCTGAAGGGAAGGCCAAGTGATGGATAATGAGAGATACTGATACTGAGACATTTTGATGTAATGTATTAATGTGACAGAAGTTAGTTAAATATGTATTTTTACTTTGACTTTCAAACAGTGGTGTGATAAATGTAGCTTTGCACCATATTAGATTTCTTTCTTCTTACTGTCTTATTATTACTAGTATCAGAATTTTTATCAGGCCACTGGCATCAATACAGCTGAATTTTTATCTTAGATACTTAACATACTTTGGCCTAATATGTTCAATACCCTTTGGGATAATAAATATCTGCCACTGGTCAGGAAATTTGTTCGGTTTTTACAAGAATTAACCGAGAATAATGAGATGCTGTATGAAGTTGTTGATTCTACAGAAACAAAGCATTAGTTTTCTTAACTTTTAAAAGTACTCTTCATTGTTCTCTATCAGATATATTTCAGTTTCTTAAATCTTCTCGCCCCTCCCAAGCTATGAGTTATGTTTTGGTTCGTCCAATGTAAACATAACTGACACACATACGTGCATACTTGTTTTTATTAAAACTACATCATTTAAAACAGCATGAATAACTCCATTTAACTTACTCTAAACTCTGTCGTCTTGCTGATAAAAGAAAAAGAACTCAATAATAATTATGTTAAGTCCTCAGCTAAAAAATCTTGGCGTCATTTTTCATCATGACTTGCATTTCGAACCACAGCTGAAGAAAGTTGCTCAGTCATGTTTTTATCATTTGAGAAATATAGCCAAGGTTAAGTCTTTCATTTCAGCCACAGATCTGGAGAAACCCATCCACGCTTTTATTTCCTCCCGCCTCGACTGCTGCAACTCCCTATATACCTGTCTCAGTCAGAAATCAATTCACCGCCTACAGTTAGTTCAAAATGCTGCAGGTCGGCTCCTAACTCAGTCCAAAAAATGTGTTCACATCACCCCTGTTTTTTTTGCATCCTTGCATTGGCTGCCTGTTTATTTCAGGATTGATTTTAAAGTTCTCTTACTTACTTCTAAGGCCAGGCTTGGGCTGGCCCCTCCCTATATTTCTGAGCTTTTATCCCCCTATGAGCCAGGACGCAGTCTGAGATCCTCGGGTAGTGCATTGCTGGATATTCCAAGGTCCAGGCTGAAAACCAAAGGAGACTGGGCCTGTACTCTCTGGGCACCTAGACTAGTCTAACAACCTGTCAGAGGAGATCAGACTTGCAGAGTCATATCCCCGTTTTATTTAATTTCTCATGATATATTTTTTGTTTGTATGTTTATTTTAATTATACTTTGATCTGGTTTATATTGACTGTTATGAAAAACGCTATTTATTATTACAAAGTCTTCTTCTTCTCTTCTTACCGATGATCAAGCTGACAATGAAGTGTAACTTAGCTCAACTCTAAATTAGTGATGTAGACATAATTCTGGATGTTAGGAGTTTCAGAAGTCTGACACAAATGGCCGGATATTGACTCGAAGAGAATAGAATATTTTCATCACTGACTTGAAAGTAGGCTGCCTGTAAATAAGAGCGCCCTTCTCCTTGTACCATTTATTTCAGGGCATACAGCTCCCAAAATACTCTCTTAAATCTTTTATGAGTTCCAGGGAGGTGTCTGTGTCTGGAGTGTTAACTCGCTTATTTCCCGCAACAACCATGGAGTCTTTAACCTTACAAGTCTTCAGAAGTGGCCTACTTTCTCCCAGCAGCTGACATGAAAGCTGTGACTTTGACAACAGTACAAGCACAAATGAAACTCAGTCAACATAAAGTCAGACGAACATTAAAGAGGGAGATAAACAACTGTGTACATCAGCACATCAGCTTAAATTGAGTTTGGCATCCTCAAAATAGCAAAGTTGCACCAGATGTTCAGAAAAGCACTGCCACTAGTTATTAGCTGCAGTGAAATCTATTCCCATCTTGGACTTTAGTGTCTATATTTCTAGAGGACATTTGAGATACCGGAGACATCCAGACAGCTTGAAAAATTAATGTTTTTGATAAATACTGGGATACAAAACAGTTTTGCCAAAGCCCTCTGTGTATATTGATAAATATTTACTTCCGTTGGCTTCTGCCTTTAAGGGGATACCCTGACTCCGACCTTGACTGGAGCATCAGATAAGCGCAACAGTCAGGTTAGACTGCTCAGGTAGTGTAGATTACAGAGTAGCTGCTGAGTGGGTGGCTCAGCTAAGGAAGACATCAAAATAGTTCTCCATGGTTGAATGAGCTTATCTGATACAAAACTCCACGGGACTAAATTTGATCTAAGTCTTTTTCTTGTTTGTGTTGTTTTTAACAGACATGTGTACCTCAGACTTCAGACTGTGGTTAAATAACTTTAAAAGGAGATAAATTCAGTGGGAGGCAGAAGATCTCATTTGACTTTCAGCTAAAACAAGATCAGACTGAGTGAGAGCCTGTGTGCGTGGCCCACTTGCAATGAAAGGTATGAAACTGAAACAGGTCAACAAGCTCAGAAGGAAACCAAGGTAACACAGAAAGAGTAGATTTAATTCAGAAATTAACTTTCAGGTCTTGGAGGATTTGATTCTTTTTGTTTGTAACACAGCCAAATGTCATCAGGCCACAGCTATGACACAACATGTAAAAAACATTAATATGACACGGTCAGCATCTATCCTGCTGCTCACATTAAAAAACTTAATGAACCAGTTTCTTTTGGAGAGTTAAAAGGATTTAATGAGGCTTTATGAACACCACTTCATCACTGATATTAATAAGGTAGGCTATCTGTACATGTGAAAGTGCTATGCTGTATTTCTTAACGACTACAGTTTTTTAATAAGGCTTTCAACAAAACTGGATAACACGGGAGCTTGTTATAAAGAAATCCATATCGTAAGGAGAACACAGTGGCACCATCAATCTTTTGCAACCTCAAGTGACCTCCAAATCTGATCTTCCTCATTACACCGCCCACGTGTCCAGGTATGGTGAAGTGAAAGAACTGTCGAAGCTGTCCTCTGCATCATTTCATGAGGCAGCATTGATAATTTGAGACTTTCCAAATTAATTAGCACAGTAATAAAATTTCTTGCTGACCAGTAGGGAATAAGAGCCTAATTAACCCATTTTCTGTATTAATGATCTGTTTTTATCAGACACGTTCTAGAACAAGGACTAGAGGACTCCCCACATTTGAAAGTTTGTAAACTTTAACCATTAACAACGGCGGTGAGAGGTTGATGCCAGTGGTGAGGACAGTGGGTTGACACCGGCACCTCCAATGAACCACGTGTCCTTTAAAAGGAAGATAAAAAATTCACAACCTCATGACATTGAAAATGACAATCAGTGTGATTCTGTGACAGGAACAGCCCCAAGCTCCCAGTTTTTATTGAAACCTCAGCAGTTCAAGTCCAGTCAAGTCAAGTCCTGGATAACATTAAATGATAGAAAGGTGAGCTGTAAACTGCTTAAGGTGAAAAAAAAACAAAAACAAAACAAGTCTAGGTCACCAAAAACTGAATAAAATGTTTAATAGAAAACAGGCCTTTTTCAGGGATTAGGAAATGAATGGAATGGAAGTAAATGAGGCCTTGAAAGTTATTGCAAACCTACAGGTGCCCCAAGAAACCAACAAACCTTCTGTCTGCACAAAGACAGAGTTGGAACAAACTGTGTTACTACACCCTCTGATGCATTATTGGGACAATACTATACTGCAGGAAGTAGTGCTGTGTACACACACACACACACACACACACACACACACACACACACACACACACACACACACACACACACGGAACAACTTGAGCGGAGAAACATCGCAAGTACAGTAAGGGCACGAGGGGTCACTGGATGGTTTGATGCGTATGAAAATGATGTGAACCATATGCAACGGCCTTCACAGCCACTAGATCTTAACCCTGTTGAACACCTATGGGAGAATTTGGGTCAACGCGTTAGACGGCGCTCTCCATCACCATCATCAAAACACCAGATGAGGGAATATCTTTTGAAAGAATGGTGTTCAACCCTCCAGAGACTTCAAGGAGCATTGAAGCTGTTCTGGTGGCAAGTGGTGGCCCAAGACCTTTTCTAAGGCAATTCCTTTCGTTTGACACCTGTCTGTGTGTGTGTATATATACATATATATATACATATATATACATATATATATATATATATATATATATATATATAGCACATGAAGTAGCCTTCAAACTGCTGCCTGTGAATTGGTACGTTCCACTAATCTCCTCCGATCTAAACGCGGAGAAGACACTCTGAACATCTGTTTGCTCTGTCATGCCAGTAGGCAGGGGGCCAGTCTATTTGCTGTGCACCCCTTAATTTACCAGATGTCTACTGTAGGATTAGCGCAGTTTTACAAAGAGCAGTCATGACTCTCCAGCTGGGTCCCCACAAAAAGCCTACTTAAAGGAAAGTGACACCATCAAGTTAGAGGGACCGTTATTGTATATTCACATGCATCCATCAAGCAGGTTTATATGCTGGGAATTCAACATTGTGCAATAGTCGCTTAGAGGAAACCAAGACAGTTTAAATAAATCATAAAATAAATAATAAATAGATAATAAAATAATGACAATATTATAATAAAACATTATAATACATATGCTACTAATAATAGGGATTTTGTTGCTGCAAAGTGTTGCTGGTGTAGTTAACTTTTTTGATCTCCAAAATGTCAATTGCTCATTCACATACTTGCACTTAACAACAGTGTCTGAATTTATGCATTAATGACTTGTGTTTTCCCTCTTTTAGATAGCAACCAGATGAACAACGTGGTTCAAACTTCAACTTTAATAACTCAGCCTTACCCGGCTGTGGGACAGATCACCAGCCCTTACGAACAACAGAAGCCTGTCAAGGATCTCAACAAGTACGCCACGCTCAAGGCCGTGGGTAAGAAGCTGTTCACAGTGAGCCGTAATGATGAGAAAGCGGTTTGCATTTATCATTTGATCTGATTAGGTAGCTCATTACATCCTCTATGAATAAAACTTGCATAATTAATCAGGGTTTTCCCTGCCTCAAATAAAGAGGGTCAAGGTTTAATTGAGTGAAGTGGAAACAATACAATCTGTAATCATGGGGACAGGTTTAAAGGTTTATGAGGCAGAAAATTCATCTGCAGTGCTTCATGAAATATTTTTTTTGGGATCCCAGTAGGATGAAATGTGTTTAATTTAGTGTTAAACATGGCTTGTCTCAACAGAAAACAAAAACGTGTTATTAAAATTTTCTGCCAGCTGCTGTTGTTAGTAAACTGCCACCCCTCTCTTTGTAGTAAGCAAAAATGATATGGCTCTGACAGTTGTTCACTCTTTTATTTCTTTCTGCTTCAGATACAGAAAGGTTCCTGTATAATCACCACACGTTGATAGAAATGAAAATGGTCTTTTTCTTTAAATAGAAACCTAGCTGGTTTGAATCTCTTCTGTCTGGCTGACAGAAATCCTTGTCAGTTAATCCATAGTCCATCAATGCCAACAGAGAGGGGAACTGAAAGTTTATTTTTAGAGGCAAGTTTGTTGTTCTTCTCATGTGCTAATTTTGGAAAGTCTGCAGCCAGTCAGTGCCTGGACAAGCAGCATTTCAAACAAGAAATAACAGCAAATACCAAAATAGTACAACTGAGCAAGATTGGTGCTGTGATTTTCTTTTAATGTCTTTTAGATTTTTAAGTCTTGAAAAAAATGTTTAGTGTCAAAGTATGTAAATAAAAATACCTCAGGACAAATCAGTTGGCATGCTACTGATATTTAAAAGTGGATGACAGTAAAGTGAATTCTCCATCACACTAGCCAAATAAAAATAAACAGATTCATGCATATCCAGTAATTTACTACTTAAATCAACCAAACACACATATATATATATATATATATATATATATATATATGAGTTTCTTAGCAATATTCAAAGTTGACTTGATTAATGAAGAGAATTCAGTCATAAGTAATGAAGTCATTGATTTCTCACTATTTTTCATATTAGATTCCTGCTGCAAAATGTTAATTCTGTTTTGACCAACAGTCATCTGCCTGTTCTCTTAATGTGAGCAGATAAAAAATAATCCCAATAACTAAGAGAAATGAGCAGCATCAAAGCGTGCAGTGAAAGTATTTGTGGATCAGTATTTGATGCTATTCAGCAGAGTGAAACAGGAGTCTTTTTATAGAGTCTACTTGAATCAATTAGCTGTGTTTGACAGACCTGGCCAGAGAAGGGATGACAGCTATCAGCATGCGTCTAGTAGGTCCAATCGCATAAAACAGCTCGCTCTCTTTGTGATTCACTCGAGCAGCTGAAGCTTCTCCATTGCTAATCCACTGAAGTGCTGTCAAACAAACTGATCATTAGGGAAAATAAAAATAGAGCAAATCTTAGCTAATGAGACTGGGGACAGGAGACAATCAGGAGCGATCAAAACACAAATGAGTTGGGGCGCGGCGATGGGAAGCAACTATACTGTACACTGTGAGTCATGTGAGCCTCTCCGGCCCTAATATACTGTACGTGTTAATCCACCTGCACTGATGGAGGGGTTATACCGAAGTGGCTCTTGCTCATCACCACATCACTTGTCTCTACCGTGAAGTGTGATCCAGAGCACAGACACAGGTTATCTGGGAGACATTTCATTAAAAACATCTGAAATGTTAGTGTCGGGTGACGAAGGCTAACGCTGAAGTGTGCACTCAGGCTCAATTAGTGCTGAAGTGAACGCTGTTTTCGCACATGGTCTCAACGATATAGCATCACACCACAATGGCTATAAGGAGCAAGTTACAGCAGATGATTATGGCAAGAAAAATGTCAAAAGACAAGATATACTGTGCTGTGGTCTACTGGCACGTCTCACATGTCGAAACCTTACTGAGTTCCTAGTGTTGTACTAAAATATTTTGATGTATAGGAATATCAACAAAGATTTAGTGGAATCTGAGTCTAATTAATAACTGAACAAACACACACACACACACACACACACACACACACACACACACACACACACACACACACACACACACACACACTGTATTTACTATGGTTTAATTGGCTGGCAGGGAGGCATAATGTGAAAATATTTGAATATTTGTGAAAAACATTTACTGTCTATGCAGCTACTTATTAGTAAGTAGTAAACACTGTTAGCACTCTACAATGCATTATTATGTATTAAACAATCACCATCAGTTCACAATGAATAACTGGTATTTTACTGTAAGTTCACTGAATTTGTAATTTCACTAACATTTATATTTCATTCATGGGTAAATATTGGCTTTAATTACCATTGACATTTCCTATCCATTTAAAGCATTATAATATATATATTATATTAATATTCATTTAATGTACCAGGTTTGGCAAGTTATATCTCGTGCACAACTTTTTAGTTTTGCAATTTTTTGCTTAAATGCAATTAACTATTGTAATGAAAATGACGGGAATATAATGGTAAAACCAACAGTGGTTTAAACAGCAAATTTGTGTGACTTCATGGACCTGGAATGTAGGTGTACACAGTACATTTCTATTTTAATTAAGTTCCTATGATGATACCTGAGAATTATGCTAAGTTACTTGACTCTTCCTCTCTCTTTGTTTTGTTAGCCAGTTCTTAGCTGCCTGTCTCTGCACTCAGCATTGAGTAATGACTAATGATGGAAAAAAACAAGACAAACAAAAAACATCATGTTGTCTATTTGTGTATTTGTTAGCAGAGAAAGCCAACGACAGCTTCTACAGCAACCGTCGGCAAGTGATCGAGATGACAACCAAGGGCAGCCTTCCCATGGAAGCTGTGGATATGGAGCCAGAGCCGAGTAATCCCTACAGCCCACCAAGACAGCTGTCTACAAAGCAGAATGGACACAAGTACAAAAGCCCCAAGAGTCACAGCTCCCAGACGCTCTGCTACGGCTCCAGCTCTGCTGCCAGCCCGGGGGTGCTAAGGTCCTGGGAGAGCAAGGAGACGTCGGGACCCCGACAGAGCTACGGCCCAAAGAAACTCTGCATCGTAGAGAAGGAGCTGCACACCACTCGCTACATGCTCCCACAACCGTACTTTGTCACCAACAGCAAGACAGAAGTGACAGTATGAGGGATTGTCTAAACACAGGGCTTAAAAGGAGCCTGCATTTAAGATGCTGACTGAGGGTTCTCTCTCCAAGAAAGCAGCACAGACTCCTGTAAGTGCAGTTGTGCATGTAATGGGCAGCATTTAAGATGCCACCTGAAGGTGAAGTGTGCTGGAACAGGAAACGGTATCAATCACCGTGGCCTCAGGAAGGCACGGTGGTGAATATATTGTCATCAATATTCATATAATCCAAGTGCTAAAACAAAACACAAAGCTAAATAAATCATATATATCAATGATGGGACATGTGACACATACAGGACAGCTGTCAATATTCACTACATCATATCAAAAGACCTGCAAATTAGAGCATCTAATGTAACTTTTATTAAATCAACGGTGTCTAAATGAGAAAATCTTTCTTATTTACTGTATTTAATCAAGGTTGAGTCGTCTAAGGTTAATTGGGTTTTGATGAAATGCTTTATTGGACAGTTTATAGATGCTGTTTGAAAAAGGTTGGCACTGCTTACATGACAAGGAGGAGAAATTATTGCACTACTCCAATAAGTGTAGTGTTTTCGGCTTGCCTGTCTGAGGCTGATAAATTTGAGCAAATTACCTGAATAAATTGAACCAGTCCAAAATTCTCATTATTTTATTTATTTGAAATGAAAGGATCCATTATAGTTTTCAGCATGTTACACTAGTGACTGTTAATGAGTAAGAAGTTATAGTCACAGTTATATGAGGATAACTAACAATTTTGGGAGATCAAAGGGAATTTTTTGATTTTTTTTTTTTTTTTTAACTTCATTGTCCTCTAGAATTGAATCACACCCTAAGCTGTACCCTGCTCTCAATATGAGCCCTCCAAAAGATTGATTATGTTTGTGTTTTCTTTAAAAGCCAATAAATCATGCCCAATTTAGACGGCCATGACCATCACTAACTTAAGTAAGAACTGTTTTGATTTAAGAAAAAGACTTTGAGATATAAAATTGTCCAAAAGTAAGTTATTCAGGTTCATTTCCAAAATGCTGTACATTCATTCTGGGGACAAATCATAAGCTAACTTTATATCAGTCAGTATTTCTAAAATGTAGACAGTTGAGTCTGTGACAGCGTTACCTGTTGACTTAAATCACTTAAGATCCATTTAAATTTTGTGAATGTAGTGTCACTTTAGATGTCTCATTTTACAGGAAAACTGCATTCAAACCAAGTCACTGCCAACAGACATCCTACTGATACATATTTCTATGATAACTAGGAGAAGTAGCTGCAGATTGTTGAACCAGTGTTGTATTGGTGTAATAGTGCCTCTCATCAGTACCAGCATGTGTGTGATTATCCTAGAATATACTGTAGATGAAGCCCCAGGATTAGAACGCCGATTGGTCTTGTTCTTAGCCATCAATCATGGCCCCAACAAACGTCATTTTCGGTGTGAAGATGGTGGCTCAGAGTTTGCATCAGTGTGTGTAATTTGAGTGATTTTAATCCCAAATCTCACATTTAATGAATGTTTCTGGACTGAATAGCCTAAATGCTAGCGGCAATAGTTATTAAATCCATTGTTGGACGCAAAGTAGTTTTTTTTTTTTGTCTGTTACTACACAGTCCTCTAAATACATCCAGACAATTTGTTGGATGATGAACCTACTACAATATTTACCTGCTATTTTGGTTAACTATATTAAAAAGCTTTGGTTGAACCACAGTGAATTTAATTTTAAAAAATTGGTACTTTTATCCCAGCTGATAACTGAGACCTCACTAAAACAACACACCAGGACACTGGAATTCATGCCACACTTGGCAAAAACTTTTTAGTAACCAGGGTTTTCAGGAGCAGCTGGTCATGTGTCGCACTGATTTCCCAGCCAAACAATATAAAAGGATGCTCGCGCCTGCCTGCAAGTCTTACTCATGCGGTTGATTATTTCAAGCAGCGGAGGACAAGGCTACACTCATAGCTGAGTGGGAAGTGGCAATTGCTAGTATAAAGGTGTATTCAAGTCTTCTCAAGTCCAATTCCTACAAAAGAAAAAACATAACAAGGGCAGAAATCTTGCAGACTGTTGTCTTTGGGTAGCTGTTACAACTGTATGCACTATACTATATACAAAATATGTATATCTGGTGCACCAAACTGTCCTTTCACAATAATCATAAACTGTTTCAGTGTTTATTTCACAGTTATATGAAATCTGTTATTCAAACTATCCGAACACAACTGAGACTTTTTTTTATTTATGCAAACAATATTGTATAGTCACTTATCACTTGTTTTGTGAATGCAAATCGTTTTACTGAAATCACTATAAATAAGCTACAATACACCATATTTACACATGGAAGATCTAGTGAAATAATAATGTGTATAATATGTGTTTGCATTACAACATCCAGTAATGAGAAGGCAGCAGCAATGTTATATTTTGGTAAAGTTTAAAGGAAAGCCCCTATGATCACAGGTCTGATACAGTTCACTATGAAGGCTACCTATTCTTTGTATCACTGTTGGCTCACTATCTGATTACCTAATTGCTCTAATGAATGTTATTATGTGTCTTTGTGTACGTTACAAATTTACTTTGGTTTAAGATCCCCTGTTGAATATATTTACAAGCTCTGTGACTGACATTTCACATCCTCCATTTATGCTGGAAAATTACTGAGCTGCACATTTATATGTTTTCCACATGTTGTTTGTGCCGTAAAAATATAATCCCCATGTTGCAAGTGTCCTGCAAAAACCTTGAATCTCTACAATGTCACATTTGTCATACTGAACTATATGAAATTACAATTAAACCAGTGAGTCAGTTTCATTGTGGTATTTTGAAATAGTTTCAGTGCAGTCTGGAAAAGTCCAAGGTTCATGAAACATTTTCTTAATGTGGAAAACCTCGATGGCTGCCTCTCACGGTGATACAAGGTTTCTGTAAGATAGTGCATGCCAACGATTTCAACCTATTTTCCTGTGTTAGAAACCATCCAAGTGTAGTCCACCTTGAACAAAGCAAATGATTATTGGCAATGAGCAGCCGTAGCACAGTGTTTGTGGACTTCATTAAACAATCCAACTAATAGGTAAAAAAAAAAATGTCAGTAAAGCTACTACAGCTTTATGTGTTTAGTCATTGGTTTATATGGTTTATTTATTCATTTATTTGTTAAATGAAACAAGAAACATGGCTGATGATAAGAACATGCACGTAATTACAAAAGCAAAGAAAGGCATTTCTACAGAGGTAAGTTGTCTGTAACATTTTTGGGGCTTAATAGAGCTTCTTTGTTCTTCTTCCTTTCTAAACTAAGATTGTAGCTGGTTCTACTGGCTGCCCCCTCAACACCACACCAGATGGTATCATAACAACACGGTAGAGTGCAGCCAGAGGACCTCTTCCATACAATATACTACAGTTTATGGGACTTTTTGTTTTAGTGTGATTCAGCTATAAAAAAGTGAAGTGTCATTAAACTGTCTACATTAAAATTACTGTCTATTTTTAAAGACTTTTTTTAAAGCCACATCCTTATTTGTCCATCAGATTTATGATTATATCACTTGACCTCGTTCATTTGGGGGTTTTAATTCCTGTGAAACTATATACATACATATTCTGGATGCATATTTTTTTAAGGATGTTTATTATGTGTCATTCATCAAGTAAAGATGGAAAAAAAACTGTACAATAGCTCAAGTTGTACAGGTTTACAGGTGCATTAACACATTGACAATAGCCAAATACAGCCTCACGTTCATACTCATCTAGTCCAAGCATCAGGAGCTATGCACATTGATTTCCTCATTGTAGCCTGACTACAGATATACCACCGAGAGGCATTTCTTGAAGGGGCTGCCACTCTTATGTGAAACGCTCAATACATGCTTATCTGTCAAGGCCTGGATAAATAAAGGAGCTGTATCGATTTGGCCAAGCGCTAATGCCTCGTGGAGTTAGTTTAACTCCATGGAGAGTCAAAGGTTTGTCTCTTGTGGATAAGTGGACTGAATGATTGAATAAAAGAACAACAGCAGAGGAACAGCACAATAACAAAAGAGACCAAAGCAGAAAATGAAAGGAGGAGGATTTTATAAGTTTTTCTTATTGGAAACAAAGGTTTTGCTCTGTTTTTGTGTTTAGGGGGTGGGGGTGGGGTAACACAATAGGATTTAGGAACATTATTGAAATACTTCAACCACAGAATTCGACGTGTTACACTGGAAAAGTATCACTTCTCTTGACTTTAAAAAAAACAAACTTGCACATACCCATAATTTCACAACCAATTCACTTCATCCTTTGCAGCCAAACATAAACTTACTTATGTACTTTTACACTTGTTTCAATCCATGTTGGACCTGCTACTGCAGATCAGTCCTGTTTACAGCCGCTTTCTATCAGAACTTCTGTTTTAACATGCCTCTGGGAACACTGTCATTTTCTTGAAAACGCCAGGAGACATTCTTGTTAATTAGCAAACGATGTTTCCTACTGCCAGGGTGGATCCCTCTGGAAATTAAATCAGCACAATAACCTAATTCAGTCAGACAAAGAGGTAAAACCATGTCCTGGTGTAAATCTTGATCCTACAGCAATGACATAAAAAAAAAAAATGCTGCATGATTTTTTAATGCTGGATTGTACTTTTCACATGAACTAACAAACAGCCAATGGGGGAAAATAAGTTCAAATAAATGAGATTTTGGATTTATACACTGAGAAAATGCACTGGAGTAAATAATGAAGAGTGCCACAGTTTTTGTATCAGAGAGTCCTCTGGGAGCGGACACGTTCATGGTAGCCCACGTTCTCTGCCACTGCATACGTTTATTGTTTTTCTTACATAAAACCTTCTGTAATGTGTTGGGACAGATTGTTCAGCTTTTTGTACAAACTTTGCCAAAAGTAGTTAAAAATGTGTGTTGCCACATTTTAGCAGTCATGGTGAAAGACTGGTCTTTCATTAACAGCCTGTAATCCAAAGATTGATCATTTCTGTTTTAGCCGTTCCAAAAGAAGTCCTGGTAAAGTTTATCTCTGGTGGCGTTTCCTTATTTCTTTTTAATCATTTTCATCATTCATCACATGTTTCCTCCTTCAAAATAAAGCAATGAATGAATAAATAAAGCTAATTTGACATGAGAGTTGAGTTATCAGGTCAACTTGTGTGTAAGGTTTAAATAAGTCCTTTCAGACACATCAGACCACCCGTACGTCTAAACTAAGACTGCAACCCTTGCTTGCACCACTACATCCAGTAACAGGCTAATGGAGCAGCTAACTCTGCTGGTTTGAAACAGACCGTCTCTGTTTCCACAGCTACAAACAAGGACAGATTTTTAGGAATAAGATTATACCAAATGTAAGTTTTACACACCTTAATAAATGACTTAGTCCTGACTGCAGAATCAGTCTCATTTCATCCTCAGATACTGTTTGGATGCATTTACAAACAAACATACAGTATATTTCTATAATGCACACAAACTCGACAAAGACGCACTAAGCCATGTGCTACTACAATGTAAATAGGAGCCCAGTGAGAAGCTTCGAATGACAAGCTGTCGAAATTTCTTAGTCCCTGACATGAGGAATCAGACTGTGACAGGCTGCAGTTCCGGCTTCTTAATGAGCTGCTGCTTATTAAAAAACAAGTAATGACTTTCCGACTAAATTTGAGTCATCTTCTGATATAATGAGGGACATTTCAGCATCTTACTGGCAAACTGCTGCTGTGGAGTTAAAGACCATCCTGAAAGCAGCAGCTTCAGTTGTACCCAAAGTTACATGTTATATTCGATGTCAGTGTTCATCTGTGAGCTGCGGCTCAGTTTCCACAGCTTCATGATTCAGTTGTTTGGAGTAGGATTTCTGAGGTGATTGGACCAGTATCATTTTCCTTTGCTGTCATTAAGACAAAAAAAAAAAAGGTGGAGTAAGTGGAGTGGAGGTCTAATGTCTGTGTTTGAAAGATTGCTGCTCTTCATACACTCTACCACTTGTAACTAGCAACATAATGAACACATGCTCTAATCTGCAAACACCGTGTTATACTGGTGCATCCTTTCTTGTGAAAACAAAAAAAAAATAATCACAAAGCAAAACTCTACAGGGAACAATGTTCATTTTGAAAGGGAGGGAAGACATCAGTTGTCATAATTTCCACTGTACTGCAGTCAAGCTAGATGGTTAATAAGGGAGAAATTCCTCTCACATAAATAGAGATCAGGGGGATAGAATAGACTGTCGATGCTCCAAATTAATCCACTCCACAAGCCATTGCAGTGTAACAAAGCCCAGATCATTGTGCCACTACAAAAGCAAGCGAAGCAGCTTGGAGCAAAATCTGAGAGTTTCTGAAAGGAGGCACACAGAGATTAGAAATATGGAGCTCCTCAGAGAGATGACTCCGCAGCAGACAAAGACACTGGGAAGTCTTTCCTCCTGCTCGAGGCAGGAAGAAAGGTCATCGTGTTATTTTGGGATAGGGACTGTTTTCGTGGGTTAAAAGTCTGTGATATGCTGATTACCCTCACACGATCAGTCACACTTTCATAAAGTTTGCAACAACTTGGACCAATATATTTTCAACACATCAGTATGATGCAATTCCCTTCCGCCACCAATCTGTGGTCATCGTATCCCTTCAAAGTGAAGTGTTGGTTCTACGGACGCAGATGACAGTGATGCCTCTCTAACAGGGATCACATATAGAAGAGGTCCACAGGGAATTCTTGACACTGAGTTCAAGGATAGTTTTGAAGAAAAACAGTGCTGCCTAGAACCAAGGAAAGTTTAGAACCAAGATTTTGTTTTAAGGAAAGATGAGACTGGTTTCAGTGTCAAATTGCAAACACCACTTTAAAATTACAATTATCACTCTAAGGCACATGATGTACGTATGTATGTATGTATGTATGTATGTATCTCCCTCTCCTTTTTTCTTGCCTTTTTAAAAAAAAAAACAAAACAAATGAATGCAGTTTTTCTCGTGTTTCTGTATATGCCCTCTGACAAACTCAAAGCATTAGCAGCTTTTATGCATACTGTAAGAGCTGAATGCTTTTCTTGCTTCCTGTAAAACCATCGAACTTTGTCCTGCAATTCAATAGATTGCTTGAAGGAAAAAAAAAAAAAAAAAACAACACTCTTGTTGTAAACAATGTAAATTACAGTGTAGAGAGTTCAACAGAGGCTGCTTGCTCTGTCAGTGGTGCCCTTACTTGTTTATGGCATTTGAACTAATGCATCAAATTAAGGTCACATCTGCTACTACAAGCTGAATCATTTGAAAGAGAAACAGTTTTCACAACCACAAGGTATTCTATTTGTCGTCATCTTCAAAATCAGTTTTACATCGGTGATTGTGAAGCTGATGACAGATACCTGAAGAGGAGTTTTGCTTTAAAAGACAGGTTTTGACAGCTATCTTTGATGAACTGAGTCATTTCAATCAGTCCTAAAAGCAAAGGACAAGCTTTTGCGCTTTGGCTGTGGGAGGTTATAAGGCCACTATCCTCCTTAGTAGGCACATTGTCTAAGTGTCTCAAATCCTTATTAAACAGCTCAGCGAGGCAGCAATTTTGCCAGGTGGGTCATGAGTCTGCAGTGACTATTTTATTTCCCAAATCTCCTCTCCAGTGTGGCTTTAGGTCCCACTATCAGACGTGATTAACATTTCAATTAAACTGAATGTACATCTCATTGCTAACATTGTAACACAAGTCTCCATCTGTCCCCTCAGAGGCTACTTGCCAGACATTGCACTCAAGGAGTTTATGATTAAGTACAGCTTCAGCAAGTAGGAATCTTGCAAA